TAGCTCTTGTCAGAAAGGATATACTGAATCTACAGGGGCCCCAGTCATTCTTAAGGCCTAGGATGATTTTTTGTTTGTTTCTACTAACTTCTGCAGAAGGGGAAATGGTGGTGATCTGAGACTTGCTGGTATTCATGTTTAAAGTGGTGGTGTGGCATGGCATACTGTCCTCTGCCACCCTACTGCAAATGCTGAGAGATCTCAGCTGTTCTGTAGCACAGTCTTGTTGGAAAAATAAAAGAATGCGGGGCAAAGTCTGTGGCTTGAAGTGTGGGATGAGGGAGCTGGCTGTCTTTTGCTGGGAATGTCTTCAGAGAGGAAGTTTAAATTTAAACAAGCAAAGAAGAGCATGAAGGAACCTGAAGGCTCAGACTAGTCTCACACTACAAAATGTATTTGATGCAAATTCGATTTCTGTCTTGAAGCAACTCAAATAGTCTCTTAGCAGCTGGCACCAATTGACTATCTCCCGGAAATGGCATGATGACAGCAATCAAACCAAATTTATTGCTTTGGGTTTGATTCCTCTTCTGGACTCTTCCCATTCTCAGAAATGTAATCTAGAATGTGTTCCCACAGGAATGATAGCTTCAAGCCTCCTTTAACAGCAATGATAGAGCATGATCCTAGTGCAGGATGAAGACAGGTGGACTGTAGTATTGAGCAGCCGGATTGTGTATTCCAGTTGAGAGCAGGAAGATTAAGTATTGGTAAAGGGAGGATCAAGGTTTTTTTCTTCATGACACAGTTTGTCATCAAACAGAGATGATTCACAACTAAGCGTTAGTTTTGTTGCTGCTTATTTTTACAGCATTTAGGAAAGAATCTGCCTTCCCATTGGGGTGGCTAAACTTTTAGGCTGCTAAAAGTTGCACCCGCACCCTTTTTTCTTTTTTCTTCTTAAGGCAAGTGTACTAACTAAAGAGCGAGCTTTAGCCACAGGACCTCAGTATAGCTGTAGTTTGGTAAAGTAAGCCAGTAAACGCTGCAGTGGGTGTGCTCCTTTGCATGTGGAACTGTTTCGAAACACTGCTGTGTTTCTAAGGCTTGTTGAAGAAAGTGTGGTAGAATTAACTTTTCCACCTTGTGTTCTGGTAGGTATGAAATTAATCACTTTCACTGATGAATCTTGGTTTGATTTATTTCAATAACTGTTTTGTCCACTTTTTCAATTAGTTTTTAATGCTGTCTTCTGCTTGCCAGGAGAAGGAACTACCTGAAATAGGTTTGGTTTTGCTGACGTTTGTTCCTAGAGCAATAAATGTCAGCGTTCCTTGGGCAGGTGGAGGGGATGGGGTGCAAAGGGCACATCTCTTTCAATCTCCCTGGTCACTGGTCCTTTGAGGAGCTTGTGGCAGCACTCTGGCTGGAAAGCATGTTTGTGTGGCAGCTACCTGCAGCTGAAACAAAACCCCTCTCCACGTCTCTCGGGAGCGGGAGTCAGGGCATTGTAGCTATGTCCAAAGCCAGGAGGGTTTTGTGCTGTGCTGCCTGTGCAAGGTGGCAGTGTCAGCACCTGACACCCACCGTCTTCTCCTGCTCCCTGGCTCAAGTTTGGCCCTCACCCCGCTTGCTTGGGACTGATTTTCTTTTTGGGGTTGTTGCAGGTGTCTTTCCCCAGACTCTGCCTTTTGCAAGCATACCTCAGCTCCATGCAGACAGGTCTCCCTGTGCTTTCCTGGGAGCCCCTTCTCAGCACAGCTTCCTACCAGGCTGATTAGGCACAGTGACCTTTTTCTTCATCTTCTTTTTGTTGTTGTTATGGAAATGCTCTCACTTGACAGCTCTAGACTACTGGGATTTCTAGATGTCCTGTGCCCTGTCTGTGTGTCTGAAAATGTTCTCCTCCAGGCCTCAGGTACCCTTGGAGGAGAAGGACCTGGTGAGGAGAAACCTGCGAGGCAGCTGTGCGTGTAGTGGCTAGAGTGGAAAACCGGGAACTGATTCCCTGGAGAAGAATGGAGCCCAGAAGTTGGGTTTTGTGTTATTTATCCATCTCTGCCACTGCATCTTTCGGGTAACAGACTGAAGTGGTCAGACAATGAAAGGATTTTCTTAGAAAAGAGTGAGAAATGCACATCCGTATAAAACTAGTCATATTCCCTACCCTGCTGGAGATCGCCAGGTTTTCATGAAGTAAAGCTGTCTACATTTTGTTTTTTATTTCTGTTGGGTACACCTTTCTTTTACATCATGTTATGCTGTTTATCTGCTGAAGTTTGATGCATTTAGGACACAGGCCAAACTATCATGGTCTTGGTCTGCTGTCTTCTGTACTCAGGCAGGGTTGGTTTTGTTTTAACCTGCTCAGTTAGAGCTTCTTACAGCTGTGACGTTATTAATTGTGCATGGCCACTTCTGTCCATTGTACACGAGCAGTCCTGTCCCAGTGAACGGACTGCATGTTTGTACAAAATGAAGCAGCTTCATTTTTGCAGGTCCTTAACTTTCATAGATGATGGTAACACAATGATTCTTGTTTTCTATTAAAGTAAATCCCTAGACAAATCAAAGCCCAACCCAAAGAAATCCCAGTTTTCTGAACAGGCCGTTTGTTATCAGGTATATTCTGAAGAGCCCAGTATTAACATTGCTGGAATGACACTTAGCGCAGTATTTGCAGAGCAATAATGTTAAAGGTACTTGGGTTAAGTGTAGTCTCACATGCTGAACCAAGATGCAGAAATCATATCATCTAAAGGACTAATGAAGAGAAATAGATATTCACACCTCAGTCTGTGTATCAAGTTTTTAAGCACCATCTCCTTAAGCATTTACATTTTAAGTTTTGCTGCAAAAGAACTACATAGACCGCACTTTTCTGTCTGTGTAGATACTCATTGCTTCAGACTGTAGATAGAAGAATTGTCCAAATAGCAAGATTCCCTTTTTTTGGCTGGAAAACAGTAAATGAATATTAGATGAGTGTTTGTAATATCCTGTACTTAAGTTTTAAGCATCAGCTGTTGTTCAAGGCTAGACAGCTCTGTAACGTAGCAGGAAAAGAGCTTAATGAAATCCAATATTTGGAAGCAGGAGGTAGATGAATTCAGACTTGGAATGGCAGTACTAGATTTTAACAGGAAGGATAACTGACATTTGGAGTAACTTCTGTGGGTGTATGGCTTTATCTCTTGAAGTCTTGAATGTGAACCCTTATGTTTTCTAAAGGATATACTGTGTTTTAGGCAAGTTATGGAAATTGCTGGTTGAATTTCATACTTTAGGCTTATTTCCCACCTTTCACAATGTCCCATGCCTGGGATTCTGTAAAGTAGGTCAGATGTGTCACTGTGTTTCTGTTAGCTACAAGGTGTACTTCCATTGTGCATTAAGAACAAACTCCTTCACTCCACAAATGGCTTGCAGAAGTAAGTTTGATCTTTTGGGCAGAGGGAGAGGAAATTATTTGCTTTGCAAGCTCTCAGTAAGGCAGAGATCTGAACCCATGTCATCTTTTCATCGTGCATTTTTATGGTTTGGTGAGACCTTGTACAAGAGAAGTGTTAAAGCCCTGCCTTTGACTGCTCTGCCAGACTTAGAGTTTTGTTTTTTCTGTCTCCTACTGTGAATAACCGTTGTTAGACCAAAGAAAGGTAGAAAAATTGCAGCTCTGTGTTTATTCCTTGCGCATTTAGGTACTGGATTGTTCCCAACGAGTACCAAATTGACTCTGCCGCTGATCCCTGGAACAAGAGTCTAATGCCTACACTGTGCCAAAGCCCGCTGGGTGATGAAGAAAAATTAAAAAGGGGCTCTCTTTGGGGGCTGGGGGGGGGCTCTTTTCAAGTCACAGGTTGGGCTGTGTTCTGGTGCCACCTGCAACGGGATAGGTGATCCTGCAGGAAGGGGATCCATGATCCTCGAGGACCTGCAGCAGGAAACCCACCCAGCCTGACCTTTCACCGCTCTCAGTTGCAGCGGCTGGCTGCTGTGGGCTGTTGCTCCTGGGGCTGGAGTGCGCTTTCTCTCTGCAAGTTGTGCTTGACTTTGCCTGTTTTGTTGCCCTGGAGACAGAAGAGTGTGGTATGCTTTCCCCCTGACCAGAAATAGTTTCCTGTACCTTGTGACCGGAGCACTGTACTCCTCCTCTGGTCTCCAGCCAGGCTGTGTCGTGCTGGCAGGATGGGGTGTGGGGTGATGACCTCTTGTCACAAGTTCTGGAGTGGCTGCTGCCCATGATCACTAGCTGCCCTGCCTGCTCCCCTCCCTCTGCACGATGGTGTAGGATTTCAGGGGAGCAATTGCTCTTGATTTACATCTCCCGTGGCATTTTGATGGTTATGTCATTTTGTTTGAGCCTTGCTCCGGTCAGCTGTCTGTCCTGGCTGTCAGGACTCAGTGGCTGAGTAGCACGTGGTGAGCTCTTACCTTTCCTTCCCCTTTGCTCAGCTGTTTTTGCTGTCTGCTTCCCTGTGTCCTTGTACTTGGGAACAGACTCTCAGCAAGCGTAACTGCACATGAGGGCAACGTGATCTGGGTGGATGAAGGATCCCCTTCTGTAGGAGTTCCAAGTAGAGCTGGGAGGGTAAGTGGGGAATTTGCAAGACCCAGGCGTGCAAGCGGGCTATGGATAGTTTATCTTAAAACTGTTGTCCTGCTGTGAGAATCTGGCCCGAGTGCAGAGTATGCAGCACAGTCTGTTACCTTGCAACTGTGTTTTGCAAAACTTCATTTGTGAGAGATGCTGCTAAAGGGGAAGACAAGACACCCCCACCACTTCCCAGCAATGCAGGTGAGAAAGCGCTTGCACTGCACCAAGGCCTCAGGCGCCTGGAAGCTCTCCAGGCTTTCTTGCTGCCTGCTACTTTATTGGAGAGTGGTTCTGGCAGAGAACTGTAAAATACATGCAACAACAATAATTTCCACGACTGAGAAGGAAGGACAGATGAAAGGAGTCATTTACCTTCCCCCATCCCTGAACAGTAGCAGATGAGGATGTAAGCACATCTCAGCCCTATAAAGTATTAATTGGGACATTTTCTACAGTTCAGCTGTGGGAAAGAAGACAGAAAGCCTGCAGTGCCCTGAGCTGCTATTCCCAGTCTGGGAGAGAAGAGTGTTCTGAGCTGAGATCTGGCTTGGTTTCTGTCTTCTGCTCATAAGGAACAGTTGCCCAAAGCCTTCCTTTACAAAGGGAAGGGAAGACCATGCAGAGACCATGGAGCTGTTCTCAGGCAGAGCAGTGCAGTGTGGCTTTGTTGAAGTGGGTCTCTAGCAGGTTTCCTATAAATCTGAGGATGCGGCATTCCTACCAGTGATATGCTGAGTAGCCCAACCAGCCAAGGGTCCTGCTTACTCGTGTGGAGAAGACTTGTGTGTCACAGGGGATGCAGAGAAGGTGTGTTTTCAAGCCTGTGTGCTTGGGTAGGGACTGCTACTTCCCCTTGCTATGTTCTTTTGATGACTGGACTGGGGAGGACAGGCAGTCCTTGTTTCTTGCCTCTTTCTAGGCAACTGCATCCCCAAGAGTCTGGAGTTTAGCAGCTGCAAGGGCTGCCTAAAAGATTTGCCTCCCTCGGATCCTTTTCTGGTGTGAGCTTTTCACTTGAGAGGATGGGGGTTTTGGAGTGAAAATTCAGGACTCAATCCTTGCTGTAGTGAAAAATCCCCTGTCTGAGCCTCAGTGGCTAAAATGCCCCCTGCTTCTTGGCTAAGATGGGCAGAGTTGCTCTGTCTCCCTCTCCTTTCCTTGAACTCATGCTTGTTACATTTCTAGGGAGGACAAACCATTTTTTACTTTCCTTGATATTTTTTTCTTTAATCCAGATGACAGTTGTGCTTGAACTGTTGTTGCCTTTGGGCTGGAATAAGCACACTTAGCATTTGGGCAGAACTTCTCGCCTGGAGATCTCGAAGTGCTTGATCAGCATTTCACCAGCGAGTCCATCCATGGGTACTGAAGTATGGTTACCTTTACAGTTCACTGGAGCTGGCAGAGTTCCCTACTTCATGTGGTCGCTGTGCACTAGCAGGAGCTGTGCATTTCTCCCTCCTACTCTGCCCTTCTTCCCCAGTTGTTTCTCTGGAGTGGAAGCAGGTCCTTTTCCCATTTCATATGGGCTACTACTTCAGAGGCTTTTCCTCGTCCTCTCCAGCCTTGGAGAAGGGGGTAAGTTTCGGAAGGGGTATCACTGGAAGTGGCTCTGCATGTTTGTGGGGCTGACAGAAGAGCGGTGTCTTTGACTCTGCTGCTACTCACTTTGAATCCAAGGAGGGAATATCAGTTTAGTGCTAGCTCTGTAGCAGGAGTGGAGGTCCTCCTGCAGCCTCGGCTGCATAGCCCTTGCCTGAAAGAGCTGTGAGGTTTTGGGAGGCAGTCATGTTCCAGCAATTTCTAGCCCTCTGGATGTCTGCTGGGTCACTGTGTTCCATTCTCTGTTGAATATGAACAAGAGCTTAGTTCACAGTTGTGGTGCTTAACACCTTGTTTATTACTCTCTTTCAGATCACCAGAAACTGGAACGTGAAGCTCGAATCTGCCGACTTCTAAAGCATCCAAATATTGGTAAACCTCCTTGGGCTCAGAGGGATGGGGGTGAGGGATGAGTAATGTGTCTCATCTAGTGCACTGTAAGAGAGCAGATGTATTCTGAATGTTCACAGCAACTTGTCAAACTTGCCTTTTGAAATCACCTCAGTTTCTCTCTTTGACAAATTCTGCATATGACCCTGTCTCATTCCTTAGCATCTTGGCCCAGATGGTCACCAGTGTGCTGTGTTGCCGTCCGCTTGCCCGTGCAGAGCTGTCCCTGTTCCTTGGGTGATGCATGACTCTTGTCTGCTCCTCTGACATTCTGCAATAGGAGTGAGCTGTTGTGGTTTTTTTCCCCACACTCGTCTTTGTTTCCTCTTTTGGCACTTTTTGACATATCCATTTAAGTGCTGTATTCAATGACATGCCCCAAGTTAAAGGAGGGCAGGCTAATATGTCAGCTCTTCGCATTACAGTGGCCACTTGCTCTATAAACAAGAGGCCAAAACCAAATTGCCTATTTTTGCAGTGGTCAGAAACCCCCCCCCAAACCAAAAACCAAACACTAATGAATAAAGGAAATAGTTTTGTCTAGAAATACAGGAAGAGGCAAAATAAGGCACAACTTCAAACCCAAACTACATTATTTACTGAACTGTAGAAAGAGGGCATGGATTTTTATCTAGTTCCAAAACACCATGGAAGTTTGTCCTAAGTTTTCTTTTAGAGAAATTTCACATTGCTGGAAGTTGCTTTGAGCAAAAAATTTGGACCATGAATAATTCCCTTTTTAGGATCTTTAAATAAATAAAGCCTCTAGGATCCTAGCTAAGATCTAATTTGAGTTAATTTATTTAAGAAAACATTAAGAAATACCAAATGCCACCTTCAACCAAACCACTGTTAAATATCCCTGTCTGGGAAACCTGTGATGCATTACATTGTCTTTCTTTTGCATAACCCTGTCTGTCAGTGTACATAACATTTTAAGGGCATCTGTCTGGTCTCCTGACTTTCAGCTTCGTAATCATTTGCTCCAATCCTCTGAAGACCTGGGAGAGGAAAGGTGCCTTATAGCATACCCCGTGGACTAACATCTGTAGCCTATTCCATATGTGATGAAGAAGCCATTTCCACAAGCTCGGGACCCCACAAAATGCAAAGCACCTTATTAGCAGATTTTCAGCAGAAAGAGCTCTGTTGCATCTGAGTGTAGTTGTGGAAGTATGGCATGAGGAGGGGAGCAGCGGCCACCTTCTACAGTCATTTGCCCTGGTGAATATATTGGCCAGTAAATTTAGTGCTTGGCAATATTCACAATGACTAAAACTAATTAGCTAGTTATCAAGCTTCATTTGCCCCATAAGACTTGCTTCACTTAGTTTAGTAGGTGATGTCACTTTTTGTTTTGGCCTTAACTTCGCTTTCATCATCTCTCCTTTTTTTCATTTCTTGCATCTTTTCTTGCCAGGCCTCTCACAGAGTAAATCTTATACAGGAGAGGAAAACAATGTTTATGAGTAAACCATACCGAAAACAGAAACATACCACATTCCTGGTTCAATTCTACAGCTTGTTCCTCATCTGTAATGAGTGGCAATGCTTGTCTCCTGTTGTATTGTGGTTTGGAAAAGACAGTCTGGTGGAATGTCAGTGGTTCTTGCATTTTCTACAGAGCATTTCTTGTCTTCCTAGGAAGAACAGTTTTTCTTTTAAGATAAAGAAACTAGTCATTCTAAACCCAACAGGTGGTCACAAATAGCAATCAAGGAATTAAGTTTTATGCCTACAACACAGAATCAAACTGTTGACTAAGACCTCGGGGAGTCATATGGTCCATTCAGCAGTCCTGTGAAAACCTTTTATACCTGGCTGGTTCCAGGCATGTTTGTTCTTAAAAACCTTTAATGATTCCACAGCCCCTAGTGGCAGTCTTTCAGATGTTTAATTTTTCTGTCAGTTAGACATTAGAAAAAACATGCTTTGCTGCTATCTTAGCTTGCTGTTTCTAGTTCTATCCGGAGTATATGTGGAAAGTAGTTTTTCTTTCTTGTAACAATCTTTTACATATTTGAAGGCTGTTATCATGTCTCTTTTTAGTCGTCTTTTTCTTCAGACTAAACAAACCCAGTTCTTTCAATCTTTCCTCATACGTCATGTTTTCTAGACCTCCAGTCTTTTTTTTTTTTTTCCCTTTTCTTTCTTTCTCCTTCCTTGGACTCTATCCAGTTGCTTCATATCTTTCTAGAAATGTGATGCCCAAAGCTGGGCGTAAGATTCCAACTAAGGCCATGTCAGTGCTGACTAGAGGGGGAAGAACTGCTTCACCTGTCCTACCAAGGATACTCTTGTTTTGTACATCAACCTGTGAATCTTTCGATTTAAATATATTGTTGATGCACATTTGTTTTCTGACACATTATTGCTCCAGACTACTTTCTGCAGAACTTCTGGCAAGCAAATAATTTTTCCATCTTGTATAGATGAAGATTCCTATCAATTGTACATTACATTTGTCTTTATTAAAACAAATGGGAAGAAATTCACTCTCTGGATTCCCCCCCAGATTTTTCAAGACCATTTTGTTTATCTTCTGATAACATAATAGGGTTGCAACTCCCTCTACAGTAATGTGATCTTTAATAACAATGCCATATATTGCATCATGTAGATAATTAATAACACTGTTGAATATTGTTGGAATCTGGACAAACTCTTGAAGATATCATTTGATATATTGTTCCAGTTTGGTCAGTTTTGAGTATGTTTTTTCAATTAGTTGTATACACCATTGTAAGCTAGTTCTGAATACACATTTCTTCTAAATTGTTTATGGAGATAGCACATAAGATGCTGTCAGAAGCCTTGCTGAAATCCAGATGCTACATGCGTTGCTGCTTCCATATTCCTTGGACCTGTTATGTTGCCATAGAAAGGAAACATGTTGTTCTGACATAGCAGTAGGTTCTTTCCTTGAAATGTGTATTAGCAGTTAGTAATCACCTAGTTACTACCATTCTATGTTGTAAACTCTTCTGGATGAATACTTGGTGTGTTGCCTCAGTGTGAGCTATGCTATTAACACTGCAGCAGTCCTGGAGAATTCTGCAGAATTTGCACTTGCTTTAATTTCCCCATTAAGTTTTGTTGTTACTGTTTTTGTTGCAAACTGTGTTGCAGCATGTCCTGGTCTTCTACAGAGACCTGAGCCTCTAGTGAGTCCAGGGCAGAGGATTCAAAGTTAGGACCCTGTGAGCTGGGCTGCTTTTCTCTCCTGCCTGTACACAGGATATAAAGCAAACCTGTTGTTGAATTTGTGGTTTTTACCCATTTTCTGCAAGACAGTTGATTCTGCTATGGAGATTCTGGACTGCAACACGCTGACCGTAACACCGCTACTCCGATAAAATAAAGGTTACTCTAGGTACAAAATAATAGTGATATTTCCATTTGCTGTTGCTCTTTGTGAAATGACCACTTTCTGAGTTATCCTAACATGCTTTCATCAAATCTCAGCCCTAATTATAGGCTATTGCTCTGTAATTGGGCGTTTTGCTTGTCTTTAGATGCACATTATGGCGAAGGTAATCACAGTGGAGTAATCCTTCTAAAAGCCTAGTGTTGCAGTAAGGTTTTTTTGTCTGGACAGAAGAAAGTTGACTTGAGGTAATTTTCTGATTTCCAGCTCATGGTATGTACCATGTTCTCATTGCAAACCATCCATTTGAATGTGCCATTATAGCTGGTCACCTCAGACTTCAGTTCAGTAGAGGAAGGACTTCTTTCCCTAACTTTCAGCTTGGTTTTTTTCCTCCTGACAACTTTCTAGAGTATTTTGCATTCTGGTCCAGGGAAACCATTTGCCAAGCATGTTCACCAAATACAGCAGAATTGAACGGAGATCAATCAGTGAACTGCTCACCCTGTGTTAAAGGCAAAAAAGATGCACCCATTTCTGAGGATATCAGAGTGTTAAAGAGGCAGAAGGCAACATCATTAAACCCCCACTGTCTGTAAGCAGATAAAATGCCTGTGAAATTTGGCAAGAGTCACGGCTCTATGGGGAATTCCGCTTCTTGAACAACTTACTGTTCCAGTGATTCACTTATCTATAAATCTTGTGGGCATTTGACATGGATGTGTTTGGGAACACAAAGAATGATATGGCTCTCTTCTTCCTTGGTCCCTGCTTTGCAGGAAGGAAGCAGGTTTCTAAGCATACTCATAGCCCTGACCCTTCATTTGCAGATGCTTTCCTGATTGTGCCACTGAAGTTTGTGCAATGGCTAAGATAAAATAAACTTCACCATTGCCTTCTGTTTGTTGTAGAGCTAAACAATGTGTTGAATATCAATTCTTGCTTTGGTCTTCTGCTTAGTTGTAAACTTAATTTCAGTCAGTCTGTGTATTTGATTTTTAAGTCCTATAATTCTTTCACTACATAGGGATTCTCTTGTGGAGAATTCATTTTTTTCCCATGCTTCCTGCTACCCATCAAATACTAGAGCAGTGACAGAGCTGGGAACCCCAGTATCTTCCTGCAGGCTTGTTCAGTGCAGATGTGAAGTTCAGCAGAGTGCTGAACTTGACCCTTCCTGTCCTAGGACTCCCAAAGCAGTAATTGTGCAAAATTTAATAAAAATCCTCATTCATAGCTTTGAAAGCACTTCTCTAGCATTCCCATGTTCTCCTACAAGAGTAGGATTGTGGCTTGTTCAGTGCACCATGAAGTCTGCTCTGTGCATGGATTTTGTCCACCGTGTTGTTAGGTGTTGCCCTTCTCCTTCTAAATTTTCTTTGTTACCCCAGTCTAAATATGTGCCTCCTCTTTGGATCTGTCACCAGATGATCTGTACTTTTTCTTAGATATTTTTAACCCAACATTACAAAAGTAGTTCTTGAATATCTTTTGTTCATAGTTCGAACTGAGCACTTCTGGTTGGTTATTGTGTCCCAGCTCATGGCAGCCTTTGCTGTGAAAAACTGCATGCACTTAGGTCTAGAGTGATAAAAAAATACATACTTTAAGAGAG